CTGTTTTGTAGGCACTCCACAAACTTCCGTCGGGCATGGCACAAGCTAAACCCGCTAAACCTACTAAACCCCCTAAACCCTAAAGCCTAAGCCTCAAACCCTAAGACCCTCGATCCTTGAAACAAGAGGACCATGAAGATGACCATGAAGAGGGCATTGCGAGACTTGGAGTTGACTGGTGATTCATTTTGAGGGGGGGTGGGTTAGGGTTTAGGGTTCGGGGTTTAGCGTTTAGGGGTTTTGCCTTTTTGGGTTTTAGGTCAGAGTGACTTCGGAGGTGGCCTAGAACCATGTAGGGCCGTGAGTAAACCTCCAGAGCCTCGACCCTAAAGCCTTAGGGTTTAGGGGTTTTTGGGAACGCTAACACCCTCAACCTAAGAGAGCCTAGACCCTAAAAGTCTTAGGGTTTAGGAGTTTCGGGGACCCCAACCCCTAACCCCTAACCCCTAAACCCTAAACCCTAAATCCCAAACCCTAAACCCTAAATCCTAAACCCTAAACCCTAAGCCCTAACCCTCAACCCTAAACCCTAAACCCTAAACCCTAAACCCTAAACCCTAAACCCTAAGCACCAATTTGCCTTGCGGGCCAAGGGTTGGCGCCATGAAGTCCTGGACCAGCTCCTGCCAGAGCACCGAGGAGATTGACCCAGAGAGCCCAAATAGGGTTTAGGGTTTAGGGTTTAGGGTTTGGGGTTTAGGGTTTAGGGTTTAGGGTTTTAGGGTTTGGGGTTTGGGTTTGGGTTTTGGGCTTAGGGTTTAGGGCTTAGGGCTATACTTTAAAACCATATATAGGCCCTTGTCCCTTATAAACCCCAAAGCCCTGCACCGCAAGAAAGCAAATCCCAAACCCTGGACCCTAGAGACCCCTACAAAACCCTTAGGCCTTTTGAAGCCTAGACCCCCAGAAGCCATGTGGGAGTTTACGAAAATATGGAACCCTTAATATAGATCCCCAAATAGAAGGAAGTACCCTTAATTTCGGAAACCCCCAAACCCCAAACCCCAAACCCCAAACCCCAAACCCCAAACCCCAAACCCCAAACCCCAAACCCCAAACCCTAAACCCTAAACCCTAAACCCTAAACCCTAAACCTTAAACCCTAAACCCTAAACCCCGAACCCCAAACCCCAAACCCCAAACCCTAAACCCTAAACCCTAAACCCAAAAACCCTAGACCCTAATTTCGGAAACCAACATTTCGAGGAGTCTCGAGCCATGCGGCGTGCCCTGCTCTCGGTTCGGGGACAGGACTCGAACTGGATGATTCAGTCCCGTGACCTCGAGCTGAAACAGGAGGGGTCAGGGGTTTAGGTTGCCTTCAACCCTAAACCCTAAACCCTACACTCTACACCCTAAACCCCAACCCCTAAACCCTAAACCCTTAGCCCTAAACCCTAAACCCTAAACCCTAAACCCTAAGGGTTTGGGGGTTTAGGGGCTCATGTGATTTGGGGGTTTTAAGGATGAGACTCAGAGGTGGCTTTGGCGGGAGGTTTAACTTGGGCTGATACATACACACATATTTGCGTGTGTCCCCAAAATTGTCCCAGCACCTTTTTCTACGGGGTCCAATGTAGCAACTGAGGATCAGGTTGGGCCCCCCCCCCCCCCCCCGGGCCGGTCAGGCTACGTACGAGGCACTGGTTTTAGGTCATTGTGTTCCGGCCTAGGCGCGGGCTTGCGCTCGGGATCCGAGGGTCGCTGCGTTCATGGTAAACCCACGGCTGCAGTGTCTCCCGACGTGCAAAATCACGCTCTGGCCTGGGTCCCGCGTGCTCTGTGGTCCGAATCGCGTTCGGTCCTGTGCGGGTTTGGAGGCTCGAGCTCCGTGTCGCCATTGCATGGCAGGGTCTAACTGTCGTTGCATCTTGCAAATGGTGCTGCCGCCTCGGTCCTGCACGCATCCTCCTGAGCTTGCAGAGCTGGAGAACGGCATGTGCCCTAAGTCTCTAAGTGAGGTGAGGAGCATATGTTGGAGTCACTTTCAGGGGTGCGAAACTTGGAAACCGGAGTGACGTAAGCCGACACGCTACCCGCCACGAAGAGGGGTACCGAAAGGAGCCTGGCCCAGCGGAAAGTTTCTGGTGATATGAAGCAGGGTTTATATCGCTGTTATCGGTGAGTGTAGAGAAGGTTTCTTTTTAATATTGGTGAGTGTATTTTATTGGTGTCCTTTTGGGGATAATTACAAGAAATATAAAACTATACTTCATATCTCCAAGAAAGCTGCTGAACGAGCCTGTAAGCTGTGAGACCTGAGAAGGCAAAACAGGACCTGCCAAGGACCCGGACAATTGACGACTCCGGCAGAACAAAGCAGTGGAAGCCCCCTAAGTCCTTGGAAGCCCAGTGGTGCCCTTTACTCTTTTTTGTAGTTCTGGGTTCCTTTATTAAGTAACCAGCCAAAAAAAGGGTGCCCTTATTAAGATATGGTTACTGGGCCACTAGGAGTCAGAAGCAGGAGCTCGGCCGGACATTGAAGAGCTGCATCTGCCTCGCGTTGTGGCAGGGTGCCAAAGTGGTGGTCAAGTGTGCGGCCATTCCAGCTGTAGAGAGAGGTGGGGCAGTGCTGGTTCTGACCCCCCACCACCCCAAACACATAACACCCTAAACCCTAAACCCTAAACCCTAAACCCTAGACCCTAGACCCCAAACCCTAGACCCCAAGCCCTAACACACCGCTTCGGCCCGGGTCGACCGTCGAGCCAGAAGCAACCCTACATTCTGGCGCCGGGCCAGCTCAACGATCTAGGGTTTAGGGTTTAGGGTTTAGGGTTTAGGGTTTAGGGTTTAGGGCTTAGTGCTTAGGGTTTAGGGTTGAGGGTTTAGGGATATACTTTAAAACCATATATAGGCCCTTGTCCCTTATTACCCCTAAGGCCCTGCGCCGCGTTTAGGTGTCAGGGTTTAGGGTTAGGGTTGGGTTCATGATTTAGTGCTTAGACTGCTGGATCAAAATCTTCCAAACCCTAAACCCTAAACCCCAAGAGCCGCGTGTTCCACATGCACTTTTGGGAAACCGCCCCCCTCCCTCCCCCCTCCCTCCCCCCCTCCCTCCCCCCTCCCTCCCCCCTCCTCCCCCCTACCCTCCCCCCTCCGCCCCCCTCCCTCCCCCCTCCCTCCCCCCCTCCCTCCCCCCTCCCTCCCCCCCCTCCCTCCCCCCTCCCTCCCCCCTCCCTCCCCCCTCCCTCCCCCCTCCCCTCCCCCCTCCCTCCCCCCCCCTCCCCCCTCCCTCCCCCCCCCCCCCCCCGCCCCCCCCGCCAGCTTTGGAGAAGCGGCCAACTTTTTTGTTGAGTTCTTGCAGGTCTAGGTAGGTCTTGGCGGCTATATATGTGTATATGAGCACTTTGTGATGCCCAGGCTTCTAATGCGCTGCTTTGGAAGATCTGCTACCAGTATCCCCAAACCCTAAACCCTACACCCGAAACCCTACACCCTCAACCCTAAACCCTGAACCCTACACCCTAAACCCTAAACGCCAAACCCTAAAGGTCTTTCGGGTCTTGGGTTTGGCTTGCCAGGCTCCGCAGCGGAGGCGGCGGCATGCATGATCACGGATGAGCTCTTGCATGAGATCGAAGCTGGGTATCCTTATCTAGGACCTAGGACCCGAAGTAGCCCCATATTCTCCTTTTTTAGGGTTCAGGTTCCCTAAACCAAATAGGGCACCCTGTTCATTCCTAGGCTGGGTCAATAATAAGGGTTCAGGCCCCAAAATTCCGCAAACAAGGCGCCTCCATAGGCCCAAAGCAAGCCCTTAACCTTTCTACTCGGAGGTTCATGGGTGGTTAGAAGTAGGGTTATCGGTACCGTACATAGGGTTTCAAGTGCGTTACCACACGTAGACCTAGCGATGAACCTCCAAGTAATAAGCCCTTAGGAAGCCTGGACAAGGCAAAATGGCCCTCTTGCACCCACTCTGATGACTATCAACCCAGAGAGCAGCCTTTACTTAAGGAATGGCGCTTGATTCTTAAATAGGGATCCCGTATATACTTAAAGAACAATTCCTTGCTAAAAGGGTCTTGGGCCCTCGGGGGAATGTTGACTGGTGTACCCAGGACATGCTTTCCTCCATGCGCCATCCAGACCTTGTCATGTTCCTGGGGGCTTGCCTGGAGCCGGGGCGGCCTATCATGTGCGTGACGGAGTACATGCCAGGCTGGGATGTTGTTAAGGAGACCCCTATAAGGCCCTTTAGAGGTATGATAAGTAGGGTTATAAGTACAGTTATAATTGGTTAGTAAGTACCATGAACCTCCAAGTAAGCCAAGTTACCGCAATGTGGAGAACATCGTGATGCAGTAGCTGTTTAACTTCCTTATCAAGCAACCACGAAACTTAGACTCTAGAAGTTGGAAGCCCAAGCCCTAAACCGCACAAGCTATCCCCCCCAAAAATGCCCTAAGCCCTAGAAACCCTGTCAGCAAGCCAACAACCCTCTGAAACCCAAACCCAGCAACCCTCTGAAACCCAAACCTTAATCCCTAAACCCTATAACCCTCTGAAACCCTAAAACCCTAAACCCTAAACCCTAACCCCAGGGGGAGACCTGGAGCAGTACTTTGCGGCCCAGCGCAAAGCACGAAATGTCAAGGTTTGGAGACCTGGCCTTGCCAAGGCGCCTACTTCCCGTAGGGGCACCTTTTTACGGGGCTTCTTCCCCTGTTCTTGGGGTTATAGGGTTTTAGGGTTTTAGGGTTCAGGGTCCCTAAACCCTACACCCTAAACCCTAAACCCTAAACCCTAAACCCGTAAGCGCTGCGTTTTTTTTGAGTACTCCGGGGGGTTCCGAAGGTCGTCGACTGGAGCTCGGCAGTTGCAAGGGCCCTCAAGTTCTTGCACTCGCGGAAGATGATCCACAGGGAGTCTAGGATCCAGAGCAGGGCCTTGTTCACTTTTTTTGCGGTTTAGGTTCCCTTACAAACCCCTTTAAACCAAAGAGAGCACCACCCCTTTTTTTCCTAGGTTAATCTTGAGCCTAGGATTTGAAGCCTATGAACCTGCTTCTCACCAAGCACAACGAGTCTCGGCAGTGCAGGGGTGCCCTTTTGCCTTCTTCTTTGGTTCTAGGTGCCTTTACTTAGGTGCCTTTACGAAGTAACGAAAGCCCGAAAAGGGTAGACTTAGTATGAGAATGGGGTTCTAGGTTCCTTTACAAAGTGACGAACCCCCCCCCCCCCCCCCAAAAGGGTAGACTTAGTACAAAGAAGTAGGGTGATAAATTGGGCTACCAAGGAGTTGAAGGTCTCGGACTTCGGCATCAGCCGGATGCTGGGAGATGCTGACAGCTACGTCATGACGGGAGGTATCGGAACCTTGCGGTACATGGCCCCAGAAGCTGGGTCCTTGTTCAGAATCTTACGGAAAGTTACGGCCCAAACTTACATAAAGTTCCCGGTAACGGGGCCGCAGAGTCCTCTATTTCATAGCACAGGGCACCCGTATCATGACAGCTTAGCTCAAAGCTACCCCAGGAAGTCGTGCGACACGGGTGCTACGACGAGAAAGTCGATATCTACGCCCTGGGGCTCCTATATTCCCCTTGGGAATTATTTTCTTTATTTTTGTTTATATAAAACCCAAGAGGATATTAAGAATGATAATTTGTATTAAGGTTCTAAGGGGAGTGTAGGCTCATTCTCTACTTCATGAGCTCTGGCCGCACCCCCTTCCACCATCTTGGAGAGCTCGGGGCGCGGAGCGTCTGCGCCGGGTTCCGCCGCGGCAGTGAGCCGCGGCCCCTGGCTGCGGAGTGCCACCCAGCTCTGAGACCCCTCATGGAAGCAGCCTGGCATGCGGTCCCCGCCCAACGGCCTACCGCCCGCGAGTTGCTGGAAGATCTGGGGCGTGTGCCCCAGGTCAAAGGGTGCGGGCCCTGCGCGCAGATGTGATGGCCTGCCGACCGGGCGGCTTCTGAATCTCTTGAACCTCTTGCGCCGCGTCTATTTGCGGCCATCTCTTGCGCCCTTGCAAGCTTTAGGTGCGGCAAAATGCAAGCCCATCCTGGCGACGCACCGTGCATGTGTTGAATTCGTCTTTCAAGCGACACCAAGTCTCGCAGTTTTGCCAAAGTCTAAAATTGGGATGTTCCACCTTATACTAGCAGTCCTTAAGAGAGATTACAATAGGTGGTGCTTTATTCCCTATTAAGGACCGCTAGTATAAGGGGGGAACATCCCAAGTCTAACCAAGTCATGAGCAATCAAGCCGCATGCAGGTTTTTCTCGACTGGCCCTCCCGTATGGAGACCCGGGCAGAGAGCTGCGAAGCCACTGCCACGTGGCCTAGTTGGGTCGATCAGGACTACCTAGGCTTGCAGTTTTCGGGCTTCCCCCTGCAGTTGTGAAGTCGTGCGAAAATCCAGCCTGTACTTGCTGAACAAGAACATGCGACATGTGGGATAGTTGGCAGTTTTGTGAGCCCCCCTGAGTGATATCTCGAAATATCGAAACACACCCATCACCGCTTTGCAACTGGAGCACAGTTTGCCTCAGTAATCTACTCGAAGCTTAAGACTCCCCCCCCAAAAAAAAAACCAGAATAAGATTCCTTATTTTACCCTTATAACTTATAACTTATAAGGAAGAATATTGCTATATTTTTTAAGGGGGGTCTTAAGCAGTTCGTAGTAATTCGGAAACAGAGAAGCTTGTAGATGTACACCGGAATCGCGAGTGCACATGTCAAGCCTGCTCGGTGCATTTCGTCTGCGGGCTGATCTATATGAAAGACCACAAGAGGTCCTAAAGCCCTAAGTCTGAACCCTAAAGCATAAACCCCAAACCCCAAACCCTAAACCCCAAACCCTAAACCCTAAACCCCAAAGGACCTAAGCATGCAGGAGTATGCAAGAACATAGACCCCTCCCCACATAACAACAAAAAGGAGATCAGTGTACATAACCGTGGTCAGCCCCCAGTGGCCTCTGGCTGCAGAGACCGCCTTTTAATCCTTGGGTTCCGTTTCCAACTTTCGGGTTTAGGCTTTAGGTTTCAGGGTTTCCTAAACCCTAAACACTAAACCCTAAACCCTAAGCCCTAAGCCCTGAACCCTAAACCCTAAACCCTCAACCCCGAACCTAAACCCTAGCATCCTAAACCCTAAGCCCCCTAAATCCTAGACCCCAAGCCCCTAAATCCCTAAGCCCCGCCCCAGGCTTGCCCCAAGCCTTTGCGAGCCAAAATCGGGCTTGGGGTTTAGGGTTTAGGGTTTAGGGTTTAGGGTTTAGGGTTTAGGGTTTAGGGTTTAGGTTTTGGGGTTCAGGGTTTAGGGTTAGGGCCCCGATAACCCCTAAACCCCCCAGCGCCCCTGAATTAGGGATATAGGCTTCAGGGGTTTAGGGTCTGCGTTTTAGCCGTTTAGGGTGAGGCATGAAAGGCTCAGGGGCTGAGAGTGTAGGGGTTGAGTGTGTAGGGTTAGGCACAAGAATGCATGTACTATAGGTTGCGAGATATGAATCTGGAAGTTCAGAGGGGTCTATTCAGTCTTTCTGGGAAAAAGGGTTGAAGAGAATCCCGAAACTCTATACCCGAAACCCTAAACCCTAAACCCGAAACCCTAAACCCTAAAACCCTAAACCCTAAACCCTAAGCATACGAATACCAGAGTTGACCACCAGAAGCGACCGGGCCGCTCGGTCTCCAGGAGCGTGCGCCGACTTTAAAAAGGGCTCGGGGTTTAGGGTTCAGGCTCTTCAGGGTTTAGGGCTTAGGGTTTAGGGTTTAGGCTTTAGGGTTTAGGGTTTAGGGTTTAGGGCTTAGGGTTTAGGGTTTAGGGCTTGGTGGTGCTTAGGGTACCCCCGAACAGACCCAGAATTATCGAACCTCCCAACGCAAGAAGCCACCCGCTTGGGGGGGGGGGGGACATTGACATGAACCCCGAGTTTATGCAGAATTGGGGCCCCTAAACCCTAAACCCTAAACCCGAAACCCGAAACCCGAAACCCTCATACCCCTAAACATCCCAAATCCCCGAACCACGCCACCTTTCCTCCCTGAACCCTAAAACCTCCATCATTAGAGATTTTGTCCCCGATGCGATATGATGTATTCATAGCAGGGATTTAGGAAATATAGGGTTGAGGTTTCCATCATTTCCCCTGACATGCGGTGATATAGGGCACCTGCTTCCCTAATGTACTGGCAGGAGTTGCCGTGGCCGTGGGCCCGGGCCCTTAGCTTTGTGGTTTAGTCTGGTTCTGCGCGGCCCTCAGAAGTAGGAGCGCTTCCTTCTGCAGGTTCTGGGCACTTGGGTTCTGGGCTTCAGCGTTTAGGGTTCGGGTTTAGGGTTTAGGGTTTAGGGTTTAGGGTTTAGGGTTTAGGGTTTAGGGTTTAGGGTTTAGGGTTTAGGGTTTAGGGTTTAGGGTTTAGGGTTTAGGGTTTAGGGTTTAGGGTTTAGGGTTTAGGGTTTAGGGCGTGCCAAACGGAAGCGCGCTGTGGGAGCGCGCGGTAGTCTGCAGACCTACCCACCCCAAGACCGCCCACTTACAACTCTCAAGGAGTTAAGACCTTTTATTTTTTTACAAAGCATCACATGAGTCAGCACTCACGCCCTTTTTGGGGACCGCCACAAGGTGCGTGGACCAGGCACAAAGCTGCAGCAGACGGAAACGAGGCAGGGTCCGTGAAGACAGCTTGGGTTTGCACGAAGGGGCTATGGGGGGATGGGCCAGGCACAGACAAAGGCAGCGAGGCTTGGTTGGCGCGAAGGGGCTCAAGCCACGGAAGAACACACAGTGAACAGCTTGGGTTGGGCAGAGCGCCAAGGAAACAGAGCTGGTGTGGCGGACAGCTTGGCTTGGCGCGAAGGGGGTAAGGTGGGGTGCCGGGCCAGGGTCAGGTCAGGTTGAGGCACAGAGTTGCAGCAAACGGAAGCGAGGCAGAACAGCTTGGGTTGAGCACCCCGGAAGCAGGGCGGGCGTGGACACAAACTGGACAGCTTGGCTTGGCGCGAGGGGGGAACAGGCCAGAGTCAGGGTTACAGGGCAGAGAAGCGGGTCAGGGTCAGGGCAGGTCAGGGCCGCCCTAGCCAGGGCCAGGGCCAGGGCCAACAGAGCCAGCGCCAGAGCCAGCGCCAGACCCAGGCTCAGGGCCAGGGCCAGGGCCAGGGCCAGGGACAGGGCCAGGGCCAGGGCCGGGCCAAGGGCCAGGGCCAGGGCCAGGGCCAGGGCCAGCAAACTGCTGTCTCGGCTGTGCCTGCCTGGAGGGTAAGCCTGCCTGGAGGCCAGCTCGGTCGCCCGCCTGGGGCTCCCTCGCAGGGTTTCACTGAGCGCTCGACCAGCGCCCGCCTACCCCAAAACACAAAAGAGTGGGGTGGCGGGCGGGTTTGGGTTTGGGGTTTAGGGTTTAGGGTTTAGGGCGTGCCAGACGGGAGCGCGAGCTTGGGCTGGCGCGAAGGGGCTAAGGGAGCAGAGAAAGGCAGCGATGGCGCGAAGGGGCTCCAGCCAGGAAGAACACACAATAAACAGCTTTGATTGGCAGAGCGCCGCGGAAGCAGGGCTGGAGCCAGAGGGAGAGCGCCCCGAAACAGGACACAAACTGGTGCGCGGACAGCTTGGCTTGGCGCAAGGGGGTAAGATGACTCGAACAAGCCAGAGGCCAAGGGGCCAGAGCCGCAAAACTGGCGCACGGTCAGGAGGATCAGGGTCAGGCCAGGGCAGAGTCAGGGCAGAGCAGGGCCAGCACCGGGGTGGGGATGGGACCGAGGCCAGGGCCAGGGCCAGGGCCAGCCAGGGCCAGGGCCAGGGCCAGGGCCAGGGCCAGGGCCAGGGCCAGGGCCAGGGCCAGGGCCAGGGCCAGAGCCAGCGCCAGCGCCAGGGCCAGGGCCAGGGCCAGGGCCAGGGCCAGGGCAGGCCAGGCCAAGGGGCCAGGAGGGCAGGGCTAGCGGCCAGTACCAGGGTCAGGGCAGGGTCAGGGCCAGGGCCAGGGCCAGGGTCAGGGCCAGGGGCCAGGGCCAGGGCCAGGGCCAGGGCCAGGGCCAGGGCCAGGGTGAGGGCAGGGAAGGGCCAGGCTAGGGCCAGGGTCACAGGCCTGGCCAGGGCCAGCGCCAGGGCCAGGGCAGCTCGTGTGGCCAGAACCAGAATTGCCAGAGCCCTGCCTGCCCCAACAAAACGGCGCCTGTTTTTCTCAGCCCAGCGGACGGGGGGTGAGGGACCAAGGGGTCTCAAGGGGCCGTCCCAGGAGGCCCTCCAATGCAGGACCCAACCAGGTGTGCGGACAGCTGGGGTTTAGGGTAATACAAAAAAATACAGTGACAACTGCTGTGCCTGCCTGAAGGGTAAGCCAGCCTGGAGGCCAGCTCGGTCGCCCGCCTGGGGCTCCCTCGCAGGGTCTCACTGAGCGCTCGACCAGCGCCCGCCTACCCCAAAAGACAAGAGAGTGGGGTGGCGGGCGGGTTTAGGGTTTAGGGTTCAGGGTTCAGGGTTCGGGTTTCGGGTTTAGGGTTTAGGGTTTAGGGTTGGCGTTTCGGGGTCTTTGGGCTCTTAAGGTGCTAGGGCCTAGGGTTTAGTCGTGTGGTGACGGGGGTTTCAGCTCCCCCGGGTTCACCCTCAACCCTAAACCCTAAACCCTAAAACTCAGGTGGTGCAGAAGCGGCCCAAGGAAGGAGGCTACCGCTTTGTGAATGAGCACTGCGTCCCAGAGGCTGGGTTAAGGGTGTTTGGGGACCCTAAACCCTAAACCCTAAACCCTAAACCCTAAACCCTAAACCCTAAACCCTAAACCTTAAACCTTAAACCTTAAACCTTAAACCCTAAACCCTAAACCCTAAACCCCCCAAAACCCTGAACCACAGTATTCTGGGCTCTCGGGGCTTGATTGGGCCTGGCTAACTTAAGGACTCCTCAGCCGCTCGTCTTGTCACGGTGATGGACAAAAAGAGATGTCGACTTCTG